CGATGATGATCATGATGATGAAGATGATGGCAATGGTGGTGGTGGTGATGATGATCATGATGATGATGGTAAAGGAAGATGAAATAATTGGCGTCACTCCCATTGATGGGTGGAAACAAGAGGTTACAACCAATGGAATCTTTGAAAGCTGTTTGACTCCACCAAAATTGAGCACAATTAACCAATAAATGTGAACCAAATTGTATTATCAGACTGGGTAAACAGTGGAGTTGAGTGAGTACGATGAGGATGAGGATGAGTACAGGAGAGACTCATCTTTGGCCATAGATTTGTTCGCATTTTGATTACCTTTTACTGTTATTGTTGCAGTAGAGAGAGTAAGAAAGAAAGAGAGGAAAAAAAAGTCGGCAAAAATACAAAAATAACATTAGAAACGAGGAAAAAAAGAGTAAACTTTGCAGTTCTGTGTGTTGCCTTACAAAAGTGTCTCTTTGTATTGCCTTTCCTCCTTCATCGTCATAGTCCTTTTTCATCCCTTATCTTCATCTTAATCCCTCGTCTCATCATTCTCATTATCATCAGCTCCTTGGAAAGACACTGTCATGAGGTAAGATGAAATCTTCTCCCTCATTTAACTAAATAAAGTCAATTAAAGTTACCTTTTGCTTTTGTTTGATTTTACTCATTTGAAGAGTTAAAATGCGACACTGAGCGAAAAGGAAGATAAAGATAAAGACAAAGTGAGAAGATGAGAGTTCCAGTGAGAGAAACCTGAAGAAAGAGAAAGAAAAATAAATCATAATTATAATAAAAGTAGCAAACAAGAATTACAGATTTTAAGATGTTCATAAGACATCATCATCAACACCTTTTATCTTCAACCCAATTATTATGATTAGTATTATTTGTCAAGTGATCAAAGTGAAAAAAGATTCAACAAAGCAAAAGGTTACTTTAAAACAATATTACTTGGAATGAAGAAAGGGATAATTTGATGATAAACATTTTACATCGAGTTACTTTGTTTACATTTTTGTACATTTACCTTGGATTGAAGTTGCCAATTGTCTTGATCTATACTAACACTCAACTTGTTTCCTTTTGACTTGCAGATTCATCAATTCCGTGCCGTTTATTTTGTACCATCAACCTCGTTATTATCAACGACAACAGCTAAAGCGAAAAAATAATTACATTATTAATATCTTTAACTGCTAAATGGATTCCCTTTCATCGGATCCATTGTGTTTACAAGATTTAGTTGGTCCACAAGCATCTCAAGGAGTCCAGAGTTCATCATCTTCAGCTCTTCTTAACACTCATCCACATCTAGGTTCGTGTTCATCGTCAGTTGATAATTCAGGAGTACAACATCAACAACAAGTTGGAGGCCAAAGCTCAACATCTTCACCTTCAGTGACACCAACTGAAAATCTAAGTGATCATCCGGCTCACAATCAATCTAACTCTAATTCATCATCATCTTCTTCAGTGCCACCATCAAGTACAGGTTCAACTCACCATTCAATAGTATACCATCACCAGCAACCTTCATTAAATTCACTTCATTTACAGCAACACCACCACCAACAACAACACCAACACCTACACCATCATATTCCGCCCCCATCTTCCTCCTCCTCGTCATCATCATCGTCTTCTTCCTCCTCTTCCTCAGTCCTTCACCATCACCATCAACACCACCATCCATTGGTAACAATGCAACACGCCATCCATTCAACTGTTAACGCAATCAATCCACCATCAACTGGACCACATCATTCTCATCATCACCATCCACGGACTTTATCGACAAGCCAATCCCTTCATTATCCCAGTGCTCATCATGTTTCATCACTTTTCTCAACCATTTCGGGTGCTCCTTCATCATCATCTATCTCTTCATCTCCTTCAGCTCATCCTCATTTTTACACTCATCCAACTCCAGGGTTTCCACAAAATGTTTCCTCTGCGGCAGCAGCCGCCGCCGTGGCTGCTGCTTCATCCACAGTAACCTCATTGAACTCTAATCTTACTCGGTTACCCTCTCATCTTGACTCAAATCCAGGTGGCAATGGAGGTGGTTCAGGTAGTCCTTCAACGACAACTCCTTTACTTCACCAGTCACCTTCTTGTTCAACAACTGTTCCTGATCCATGTAAAAAGCGACCAGGTAAGCTTAATCCAGTTTAGCTCATTTTAAGCCTGTTGAATAGATAGAAAAATGAATCAACAAAAATATTAATTTTTAAGACTCCTCCTTGAAACAACGCCTTTAGACTATTGATTAGTTTTACATAAATTCATTGTGTTCAGCTGTACAACCAGGTTTATTTTATTTAGTTTTTCACATTGACGATGGCATAGAGCATACTGTAGCATAGAGTAGAAAGCTAATCGAGGTAATCAAACGCACTACTTGACTTGATATGATTTCAAGTAATATGGATTTGACAAAAACGTTTGATAGTTGAGTTAATTTTTCAATTAAGTTCATCAGTTAAGCAATGACATCAGTTATATTTTGTAACAAACTAGATGCATGGGGAAGAGAAACTAAATTTTTACATATTTATTGATAAGGACTTATTTAATAACAAAAATTAAATGAAATGGAAACCAAAGATGAAACAAAACTAGGTGAAACCAGGCAAAGATCAGCGAATGTGAATCCAACATCATTCCGATTGATTCGCAATAGAAACAGATTTATCTGCAAAAATTAAGAATATTTTATTGAAATTATCAAACAAGAGATTTGGTTGAAACCAACCTCATTGATTGCTTCAATTGATTGATCAGAGTTGAAGGAAAATGAAAGTTGATAGACTTTGTCAAATATTTGGACTGACAATTGATTTACACGAATTAAATGATAAGTGACTGGCACAAGGTATGAAGATTCACCGAAGAACCTAAAGACTGAGTAACACAACATATAAGGTGAGCTTCCAATATTCAAAGTGGAGCTAAACACGAAAATACAATGACCAATGAAGTACAAATAAAATACCAAAATGGCATAAGCTAAAAATCTGTCCATGTAACGAATCGATTTAATGGTTTTAATGTAATATACACGAGTCGATTTAGCCATTCGATTGATATCAAGCGGCGATGAAAGTTTGTTTCGGTTCGATAAAGTATCAAGTAAAGTGTTGCTTGGTATGAAGGTTGACTGACAATAGATGCAACATTCAATCATAAATTGAATTGCAAGGATATAGCTGAGTTGGCCTATTAATTCAATGGAAACGATAGCAAACATATTTACTGTAAATCCAAATTTGTTAAAATAACGAAGATAATTATTTGTCGAAGTAGTTACCGCTTCATAGATGAATGCAACTATTACCCAGAAGCGAATAGTCTTGACCCATTTTTTGACAAATTCAAGTGAAGCTTTACCGAAATGATTGCTGACAATTAAGTGGTAACAGTCCAAATGTTTAATGTACAAGGAACAATTAAGCTCAAAATGCATAATGATTAAACCAAGACACAATGGATACAACTGATCGAGTATATTTTCATACCTATGAATAAAATCCGTGGGTTCACTCACTTCAATTGATGTGGTAATTACGAGATAAAGTCTGTAGACGGCTTTTGAAATCAATGCAATTGAAGCGACCCAAAACACTACTTGACTAAACACATTTTTACGTAAAAGTGAACAGCCAAGTAAGCTAGACGGTTCAATCTGGGAATGACAGTAATTTGATTTAATTTCATCCATATTTGCTGAAGGCAAATGTTTATCTGAATGTTGTAAAATCCTTTTGTATGATACAGTTCAGATTTTCGAATTCATCAGTAACTGTTGGAGACAAAATGTGAAAAATTAATGAATGTTTTGTTAGCGTTATTGAAATTTTTTTTCGATCGATCGATCGAATCAACTACAAAAAAAGGAAATGACGTCCAAGTATAGTTTTATTAAACAACATAAAGCAAAGTGTTACTTAAAAATCAATTTCTGAAAACATTCATTTCATTTCATTTCATTTTATGGTTAAATTCAATTTCAAACTGAAAATAATAAATGTATTCGCTTGAATAATTCAAGGTTGATTCTAATCATTTAATAAAACTAGGCAAAGCTAAGCCAAGAGTCAATGAAATGGAAACCAAAGATGAAACAAAACTGGGTGAAACCAGGCAAAGACCAGCGAATGTGAAACCGACATCATTCCGATCGATTCGCAATAAAAATAAATTTATCTGCAAAAAATTAGACGCTTTGATAAAATGATGAAACAAGGGATTTGACTAAAACCAACCTCATTGATAGCTTCAAGGGAAAGGTCTTAATTAAGTGAATATGAAAGAGCATAAACTTTATCAAACATTTGCTCGACAATTGATTTACACTAACCAAGTGATAAGTAACTAGAAAAAGAAACATCGTAAATGAGTAAGACTAAAAAATAACAAAAAAAGCTGGTTTCACAGCTGAACAAAATGAAATTCAAGTTTGAATTTTGAAAGCGATTTGATCGAAAATCTTTGATCAGAGAAATTCTCAATTACCAGAATAGTTCCAACTCTTATGTCCCTAAAAGTTGAAATCAGTGAATCATGCAAGTTTCACTGATTGAGCTTTTAGATTATCACATTTTATCAATCTGAAGAGTCATCAAGGGTGACTCAACCTTAACTTCAATAATATATTTAAGTTGGGACTTGTTTATAGAATCATGAAATCAATCAAGT